CCACTCCTTCACAGGGACACATTCTTTTCTTGTTAGTACTTCAGTCAGATAGAGGTCGGATCTGTTTTATTTTGGTCTTCATTTAAGCTGCAAAGGGCAGTGTAATCTCCAGAGTCCTGGCAGGAAGTGGGAAAGGTACCGCAGGTTCCCCCGTTACCATGTGGGGGGCTCAGCTGGCACTGGATTATATCCAAGCTCATGACATCCATGTTTGTTATTTCTTACTGTTTTGTTTTTGACACCTGTTATATTTGAAAACTTTTATTTTGAGATAATTGTAGATTCACATGAAATTTTTTAAAATAATAAAGGAAAATCCCGTGTACCCTTTACCTTGTTCCATCTAATGATAACATCTTGCAAAACTATAGTGTAATACCACAACCAGGATATTAAGATTGATACATTTAAGATCCAGAAGAATTCCATTTCTCTCCCTTTTATAGCCATACCTACTTCCCTCCCACCGTTAGCCACTAGGGAAATGCAATTTCCTCATTAATCTGTAGTCGCCACTAATCTGTCCTCCATTTCCATAGATTAGTCACTTCAAGAATGTTATATAAATGAACTCATGTAGTATATAACCCGTGAGGACTGGCATTTTTCACAAAATGTAATTCCCTGGAGATTCTTCCAGGTCTGTGTGTTACAAGAGTCCTAATGTTGCCTCCATTTCCTATTCATTGATATTAGCATTTCTTACAGAAACCATGACAGTGACAGGATAATATCAATATAATATATGGCTTTTCAAAATCAGAGAGCTTAAGAAGTTCCCTCAATCAGTAAGTCATGATTTTAAAGGAAACGGCAAGATGATCTCATTTGTGGGATGGAGAAACTGAGGCACTGGCAAGAATCATCTCTTTCTGAACTAGAGCCTCAGGACAAAACTTTCTTAACGAAGTATCAATTTAGTCATGATTTTCGTGTCTGTTTTCTCACATTTATGCATTTTACATTAACATAATATTTTTTTAAATCGAAGTATCATTGATATACAATTTTATATTGGTTTCAAATATATAACTTGGTCGTTCAACAGTTACCCATATTATTAAATCCTCACCCCACTAGTGTGTTACTATCTGTCAACACAGGAAGATGTTACAGAATCATTGACTATATCCTCCATGCTGTTCCATCATCCCCATGATCAACTTATTTTATGATTGAGAACTTTTGTGCCTCTTTATCCCCCTCACCCTCCCCACTCACCCCAACTCCTCCACTATGGTAACCACTAATCACTTCTCAGTGTCTATAACAGAATATTCTTAATTTGCCTGTGAGTTGCCTGTAGGGAAGCTGTGGTAGCGGCAGCAAATTCCCGAGGTGGGAGGAGCTGAGCTGCGGTGCACTGCCTGTTTCTCTGGCCCCACCTCACTGCAATTCAAATTAGCTTTTATTAGGGACCAAATGCACAAGCTGTCTTGTGTTTTTGGAGGTTAGGGAGGGCCTATCAATTATCAATAGATTTAACTATAAAGTACTTTGAATAAAAAAGCAGGCTTCAGTTTTTTTCAGCTTAATATACAAAATTGAATAAGTAGTTCAGTGAATCTCCTACTAATTTTTGGATAAGTTAATAAATCAAGCTTTAACTTCTGATTGCAAATGTGTTTGCTAGCTTGTATATGTATAGGTCGATTTGCAGACAAGTGTCTTACATATGCACTTGTTGGCCAGGGTAAAGAAATACTTTTATTAGCATTGACGGAGGTTAGCCATGGACCATTTATTTTTCATTGAAATAAATGTGGATATTTGTTCCTTAACATTTCATATTTCATCTTGACAGGGAAGTAGGGTGTCACCATTACCTCTATGAAACTGTGATTCGTATGCCCATTTCCAGCTGGCCCTCTGAGGCTTCATTCCTGGTAATGCTACTCCACTGCCCAGAGCTCCCTGCCACCCCATCTGAGCACAGAGCCTGCTGCTTTTGTTCACAAGAGCAGTCATTTTCCTAAAATAGTCATATAATGTACACACTATTCAATCACTAAGATGCAAGGTAGTTAACAAACTAAACTCTAAACAGCAGTATAAATCTTACCTAGCTGTCCCAGAGCTGACCTCAGGGCCTCGGAGATGACGTTACCTGTGAGGACCCCCAGGTGAAATTTCAGGGTGACAGGAACGCCGGCTCCTGGCAGAGCTGCCAACTCGGGTGCAGCAGCGGGAGGAGAAAGCAGCTGCCCCCGCTGTGGAGAGTGAGTCAGGACTACAGGTTAGGTCGACTGAACCTGCTATTCCAGGTAGGGCAGGAGCGGATTCTCTACTTATGATTAGAAGGGATAGGAAGGGTGAGGGATGAGCCTGCGGACTCCAGAAGGCTGCTGCGGCCCCGTCTCTTCACTCTCTCTGCCCCACTGAGCTCGGTCTCAACCAGGCAGTGAGGACCCTTGGGCCTGTGCATCCTCAGAAACAGGCTTCTCTGCAGGGCTGCAAGTCAGAAAGATCTAGGCGGAAAGGGGCTGCCCCAAGCTTCAAGTGCAGACTCCCAGCCATCACTGTGGACTTGCCGCCTCTGTCGGGCTCAGTTGCCACATCAGACAAAATAGGCTTAATATGAGGAATCCACACAGTCACTATAGAAGTTAAGGTGTAAAATGTTGTGGAAATAAATGGAAGGTGGATTCCTCAGTGGTTCTGTGATAAGAGGGCTCTCAAATGTATGCTGTGGGAGTAGCAGCTCCTGCGCAGCCTATGCCACGAGGAAACGGCGCTCACTGTTAGGCTCTGGGTCGGTCCGGAACTGACCTGCCTCTGCTGGTTCCGTCTGCCTTTGGGGACTAGCTAGAAGAGGGCACTTCAGTTCCCTTTTCCTAAAACAGCCCATTCTGCGGTGCCACCACCTGTGAGGGCAGATGGCACTGCCTGTGCTAGGCAGAGCCTGGAGCAGGCCTCCAGAGCAGGAGCCTTCAGGGCCCTTGGCAACTGACTTGGATAAACCAAGTAAACAAAAGGTCGGGACATCTTGAATGACTAGAAATTAGTTTGACAACAAGGACAGCTACTCATGTTTACAGAATAGAGCTTCTTCTTCCTGTTGGCAAGTTAAGAGGAGCCAAATTATAGCTTCTGAGTGGGCAAGGAATGAAGGAAGGATGAGTCAGATGATCTCAGAGACCACTGTTACCAAGGCATGCCAGCCTGGGGCGCCCGCTGCACCCTGAGACTGGACCAGCACTTGGACTGCCAGCTTCCTCCAGGGTCCCTCCTCCCCGCTTTCCCACTCCTTCACAGGGACACATTCTTTTCTTGTTAGTACTTCAGTCAGACAGAGGTCGGATCTGTTTTATTTTGGTCTTCATTTAACCTGCAAAGGGCAGTGTACTCTCCAGAGTCCTGGCAGGAAGTGGGAAAGGTACCGCAGGTTCCCCCGTTACCATGTGGGGGGCTCAGCTGGCACTGGATTATATCCAAGCTCATGACATCCATGTTTGTTATTTCTTACTGTTTTGTTTTTGACACCTGTTATATTTGAAAACTTTTATTTTGAGATAATTGTAGATTCACATGAAATTTTTTAAAATAATAAAGGAAAATCCCGTGTACCCTTTACCTTGTTCCATCTAATGATAACATCTTGCAAAACTATAGTGTAATACCACAACCAGGATATTAAGATTGATACATTTAAGATCCAGAAGAATTCCATTTCTCTCCCTTTTATAGCCATACCTACTTCCCTCCCACCGTTAGCCACTAGGGAAATGCAATTTCCTCATCAATCTGTAGTCGCCACTAATCTGTCCTCCATTTCCATAGATTAGTCACTTCAAGAATGTTATATAAATGAACTCATGTAGTATATAACCCGTGAGGACTGGCATTTTTCACAAAATGTAATTCCCTGGAGATTCTTCCAGGTCTGTGTGTTGCCAGTAGTTCCTGACGTCAGTGTACCAGTTTGCTTAACCATTCTCCCGTGGAAGGACATCTGTTGTTCCCATTTGGGGTTATTACAAATAAAGCTGCTATAAATATACACATGTACAGATTTTGGTGTGACAGTCAGTTTCCATTTCTCTAGGATAAATGTCCAAGGGTGTAATCGTTAAGTCATATGTAGTTGAATGTTTAGCTTTTTAAGAAACTGCCGAACTGTTTTCCAGAGTGGCTGCACCAGTTTGTATGCCCACTAGCAGGTATGAGTGATCTAGTTTCCCTGAATCCTCAGCAGTGTTTGGTGTTATCACCACTTTTTATTTTAGCCATTTTGATAGGTGTGGAGTGATAGCTCATGGTTTTAATTTGCATTTTCCTAATGGCTAATGATGAACATATGCTTATCTGCCATCCATATAGTTTCCTCAGTGGAACATCTCATGTCTTTTGCTCATTGTCTAGTTGGATGTTTTGGTTTTTTTATTACTGAGTTTTGAGAGTTCTTAATATATTTTTTATATTTAGATACTAGTCCTTTGTCAAATATGTGGTTTCCAAATACTTTCTCCCAGTCTATAGCTTCTCTTTCTATCCTCTTAATAGAGGTGATTAAGGGTCTTTAACAGATAAAAGGTTTTAAAATTTCAATAAAATCCAATTTTATCAATCCAACAAATATCAATCCTTTTATGGATAATGCTTTTGGTGTCAAGTGTTGCCTAGCCATGGATTCTGAAGATTCTCTCCTATTTTTTCTAACCATTTTAATAGTTTTACATTTAACTCCATGGTTCATTTGGAGTTAATTTTTATGTAAGGCATGAGAATTAGCTTGAGATTCATTTTCTTTTTCCTGTGCATGTCCAGTTGCTCCAGCACTGTTTGTTGAAAAAGCTTTTGACTTTCAACACTTGATTTTGCACCTTTGTCAAAAATCAGACAGCAGACTGCCCTGAGACCTTTGGAAATACAAACCCACAAGTTGCTGTGGCTGGGTGAAGGCACTCTCACTTCATGGCAGGTGCCCAGTCGGGGGGCCACCCCTCTGGAACTTCCAGCAGGCGGTCCAGAGCATTCACCCCATGTCTCCTTTGAAACAGGAGGACCATGACACTATGGAAGCTGCTCTGGACAAAGATGAACTGATCCAGCCCCAGCTTGGAGAACTCTCAGGGGAGAAGCTTCTGACCACGGAGTACTTGGGAGTAAGTAGCACGTGAAGGGGTGGGGGTCCTGAAATAGAAAGGAGAGATGGACCATTGATGGGTTTAGTGTCTGCAGTAACACATAAGGTGTTCCAGCCCTGTGTGTGTGAGAAGTTCCGTGTTAGCCAGCTTGCTTTCAGTGGCCCTGAAGTGCACGGCAGCCCTAGCTACCTGTCACTAAAAGGCCTGCTGATGAAAGAAGAGGGATCAGCGTATGACTAAAAGGTACATGCCAGAAGCTTTCGTAATATCAAAGGTATGCGCATCCTTCGTAGTGATCGTCTACCTGTCCAGCTTCTTAATTTTCCTGCACCTTATCTGTTCAAAGGGAAGACTGCAGTAGACTCGGAAATCTTCGGTGATGGCTCAAGCCATCCGGCAGATGAGGTTGCCCACTGAGGTGGAGAGGGAGAGAGGGAGGCGCTGAGGACATGTCAGGAGTGGGAGAAAGAGGAGGGACCCCGAGAAGGACAGACAGGAACAGTCAGAGAGGCCTGAGGAGAACCAGGCGAATGCAGCGCCACAGAAAACAGAAGGTGGGAGTGGTTCAGGCTGGACTGTGTGGGCAGCCCACGCATCCGAGGGGCCTGTGGAGTCCTGGGTCTGTGATGGGGCCATGACCTAAACTGTGAGAGCCCCCCAGCAACTCTCCTGGTTAGCCAGCTCTAGAAGCCGTGGTTACCAGCCACTGGCTCCATAGGGAAGGGCATGAGCCGGGAGGGAGCTGTGGCTCAGCCAGGCAGTGTCGGGGCCCACCGGCGTCTCATGAAGCCTCGATCAGAGCACACAGGGGTGAGCCTGTGTGACTGTGTGGTGCCGGCGTGTGATTCTGAAGGGAGAGCAATGGCCAGGGATGAAATCCAGCCCAGACGGAGGTCCTGTGACAGACAGCCAAGCACACAGGGCTGAAGGCCAAAGGCATTAAAAGGAGCTCCTGGGACTTTGAAGCCGGTGGTTGACTGGATCGGGGACATGGGCCTTGAAATCTCAGGAGGAAAAAAGATGGTGGGTGCCGGCAGCATGAACCTTCGTAGGAGTGGGTGGAAGCGGAGGCGCCTTCCCGGGGCTGCCCTCCAGCGCCTCACCCTGGGCACTGGTCTCCCTGGTCGCCTGGCCTGGGTCTTCCTCCTCATTCAGGCTGGCGTACAGCGAGTGCCCATGGAACCTGAGGCTGGAGGCCCAGTTATGGGGGCTTGTAGGTAAGGGTGTTGTACTTTACTCTGCTTGCCTGGGAAATCAGCAGAGGATTCAGCGCGGAGGAGTGACTTGCTGTGGCTTATGTTCTAATATATCAACTTCTGTTTTTGCTCTGCTACTTTATGGAGAATAGAGTGTCGGGGACAGGAGTGACAGAAGGGCGATGACTGAAGGAGGCTGGGTGCACAGTGCCCACCAGATCCACGTCACGGACCAGGCCTGCTGCCTGCCCAGTGCCACTGTCCTTAAAGTGTCTCAAAGACAGAAGGACTGCAACTGACTGTGCAGACTCTGTTTACATTAGGTCAAGTGGGGAGGTGCCGGAGGAAGGTCTGAAGTGAGGCAGTTGGGCTCCAAGTACTTGATGGGTCTTGAGCCCTGACTCGACCTTCATTTCCCTTTGGCAGAATGCGGGCCTTGTCAGGGAGGGACCGAACTCCATGAGAGGATGTGCATTTTTAAAAGCGAGACTTTACTGCTTCATGGGCAAGAGTTGAGGAAAACAGAGGAAGCAGATTGGTGGGGCTTGTTTGGAAGGTGGTGGCAGAAGCTTTCAAAAACACAGCCCTGTGCTGTTGGGACTTTCCCTCAGACACAAGCACCCCAGCAGGTGAGAGTCTGCAGGGATGTGCCTGCAGCTTTGACGGAAACCTGAGTACAGCCCCTTGGCTGAGTGGCCCATAGCACCTCCACCCAGGAAAATGCTTGCTGTGGGTGAGATCTTATGTTGATATGGTGAAGACTTTTAACAACAACATCAGCAAAACAAGATGCAGAATGTGCTGGAACTGCCCATTTAATCATGCAGATTGGAGAGGCACAAAGGGAGACAGCTTTCTAATCAGTCAATAACCCGGTTCGGTGACACCTGGAAATGGTGGCATTTTGTTTACCATAGGGTGCTGTTCTAAATCTCCTTAATGTATATGCACTGTCCTGTGACCAGAGGGAAATGCCTATAACCCAGCAGAAGTTTCTTGCTTGCTTCCTTATCTCGTTTGTATCTGGTACCTTTCAGTGGAGATGTGAGCTTAAGAATGAAGTGCAGATAGTTCGTTACATAGCCGTAAAGACCAAGTTGGTTTCTAGGGCTCCAGTAACAACTTGCCATTACTGTGGATGGCTTAGAACAGCAGAAACTTACTCTCTCACAGTTCTGGACGGAAGTCTGGAACCAAGATGTCAGCTCGGCCCTGCCCCCTGTGCCCGCTCTGCGGAGAATCCTTGCTCTCCAGCCTCAGGTGGCACAGGTGCTCCTTAGCGTGCAGCTGCCCACTCCAAACGCTGCCTCCATCTCCACATGGCCTTCTCCTCTCTGGATTCTCGGGTATCTTTTAAAGACACTCCTTATGGAATTAGGATAATCGAGGATGATCTCTTCATCTCCAGATCCTTAACTTAATTACATCAGCAAAGACTTATTTTTCCAAACAAGGTCATATTCACAGGTCCTGAGGGTTAGCACATGGACATAGCTATTTGTGGGCCACCATTCAACCTGCTATACCAGGTTACCATAGGATCTTAGTAGGAACATTTTAAAGTCTTATTAGAAAACATAATGTCAAGCAGTAATCACTGAGGCTGTGTGTCCACTCCCAGTTTTGCTGACTTGGTTCATTAGTCATTCTAAACCCTCAGTAACCCAGTCTTGATTTGAAATTGCCAGCCTGCCAACCTCAGTGTGCTGGGCCAGTGGTTTTGAAAGAGCCTTTTGCTCTGGTGATACACTCAAGGGCTTTAAAGCTCATGTCTTCATAACTATGCCAAACACGGGCACCTGCCAAGGAGAGAAGACATTGTGCTGGGCATTATGTGCCCCCAAATCATGATTTGTGCCTTCTATTCTGATATACTAGGTAGACTGCAAATTTTTCAAGACCAGTGGAAAGATGTTGACTTTTTGAAACACTGTGTCAGAAAACTGTATATTCAAAAAGAGTTTTTGAACCTGTGACATTTGCCTAACTTACGGCAGAATGCCAAAAACGTTTAAAACAAAGCTGTTACCTCCGAGAAGTTACCTACCAAAACAGGGCACAGAGCAGAGAAATCTGCTACTGCTGGAGAGGTGGAGGTTAACAGCGAGGAGAGGCTTGTGGGTTGGCAGGTCGTGGGTTGGCAGGTCCTGTCTCTTCTCCCCACCAAAACAAAGAATTGAAAGGCAGAAACACAATAGCAAAGCAAAGCGGAAGTTTTATTTGAATACAGTCTGAGGGCAGAGTAGGCCAGAGTCAAGGTAGTCAAAGGCCCCAGTCTTTTAGGGGAGGGTCTTTAAGTCATGTCCTAGTCCAGAAGCGCCTCTTGATGGACAGGGTGATGTCATTTGATTAATAGTTGTGGTTATATACCCATTCCTCTCGGTGCACATGTCTTTTCCCAAAATGTGCACAGAAAAGCCCAGGGGCGAGCCAGTGGGGGAAGCAAAACTGAAATGTAAATTTTATTTTAATGAGACTATGAAAAGGTGTGGTTAAGTGTGGTCATAGTTTTGTTCTTTGTACGTACGTGGTGATCTGGTTGGGACAGATTTGTCCTGGTCCCTATAGGCAAAGAAGTTACCTCCCTGCAAAGCCTTTATTGTCTTCAAGTGGGACTGCCTAACTGGGTGAAGTTTGGACGGTTCTTTCCTTGAACCTTATCTTCCCTTTCCCCAGTTGCTCAGGTCTATCCTTCTACCTAACAGTCCTGCAATGTTACAGCTAGCCCCTGATTTCTCAAAGTCAGACCACCAAAGGTGGGTTATAAATAGTCTACCCTTTGCCCCAGACCTCCTTTCCATAATCCCAGGAATTGGTGTTATACACCAAAATGCAAGGGTAGGGGTGCCTGGAGCAGCCCACCTGGCTGTGCACAGGTGGAAGCAAGCCTTTCCCAGGATTCCTGGACCCTGTAGCTCACCCCCTGCTGAGCATTTGCAGCCACCCACTTCCTGCCAAGGCCACACTGCTGGTCCTTGCGCTCCAGAGTTCTAGCATGCAGTTCCTGTGGGCTGCAGAGCCCAGGCCACAAAAAGTGCTGAAGACCACAGAGAACCAGTCACTTTTCCTGCACTTGGATGAGAGTGGCAGTAGTCACAGGAAATGCATTGCTTGCTTGTAATTCTGGTGAAATGCGGCATGCCATGTTTCTTCTTCAGGCTACGTTCATAAGCAGGTGGAGGCTGGTGACTTGCCAGCTTCTTTTCCCTGCCATCTTTTTTCTGAATTTTTAGTATCATCTATACTATGCCAAAAATCATTTAATTCTTCCTAATAAGACTGTCCTGATTTGTATATCTTCATTATCTTGGTTTAGGAGGTATGGATATTTATCATATAATCTCAGTTTTTTGTTTTTATTTTGAAGCATAAACTTACTGTTCATTTACCTTCAGCAGCAGCAGGCATGTCTTAGATTAGCTCAGCATATGTCACGGGCCAACACCTGTGGTAACGGCTTCACTTTCTAACTCCACTTAATGTCATCCTCCCAGCAAACGACTGCGTTTTATAGATGAAACTGAGGCTGAGAAAGGTTAAGGGAATTCCGGAGGGTCACGTGAGCCTAGCCTCCCTGCTCTTCACCTCTAAGCTGTGCCACCTTCTGAAGAGCTACCAGTTTTCCCGGGAATTGTATTCTGTATTGGAAACTTGAAAGAACTCTGTGTGAACTACTCATAATTATTATAGGTCTAATTTCTAAACATAGATTCAGTTTGGGGGGAATACCTATTATAAATGCTAATTACTCGTTTCCAAATTTTCTTTCCCCTCTGCCAAATGAAGACCCAAATTCATTTAGTTTAAAAGAGGTTGCCTGAA